AAAGGGTTTCCTCCAGCTATTGTTTACTGTTGCGTTTTATTTTATCCCTTACCTGCACAAATAATAGCATAATTGTTTCAGTCAAACTGCATCTAAAAATGGATATGCGCCGAAATGGAAGAACTATTTCATTGTCAGTCATTCAGAATGTCCAAAAATTGCTTAACTTTGGCCTGTGTGGCAACTTGTGTTATCGCCTTTTTGGATAACAGATTGGGATATAAGTTTGCATAAGCCAATTGAAATCTGCAGGTGATAAGAACTTCTGCACCTATCATTGGCCGCCACGTAGGACTGCCTAGGATCTCTGGAGTGTCTGAATCATAGACTTTGCGTTGTCTCGCAGTCAACATCAGTAGGTAACGCCCATAAAAAGCATGCTAGATAACGATAACGTGGTCCAACTCAAGGTACGCAACAGTGTTGCCTTGGAAGCAGTCTAAGGGTTAACACCGTACCCACAGAAACACGCAATGGGCACGTACTCAGAAATATTTTGAAACACGGACGTGCATAAGCCAGTTCACTGTCCTGTTTGAAGTTTGTTTACTTTAGCAGGACTTCATTGACATAACAACTACGGAGCCGCTTCGAAATGTCAGATCTAGTACATCTCACAGCTGCCCTCTTTTGGGCGTTTACTTCGAGGGGTATTTTCTTCGAAATGGCAGTAGGTTTCTACAGTGTGCATTTATCAAACAAAGGGAAAACTATAATGTATTGGGGGAGATTTTTGTGAATTACTTTTAAAGGGCAAGTAATGATTATAATTTGGCTGGACTGTATCAACTTTTAGTTAAGTAACGATTCCGTATTAGATACGACAGTTGACAAAGTATGAGCGCTTATTTCAAACGTAATTACGGGAGGCCTCGGAGGAAGCACTCAAATGAGGGTACTTATTGAGTGTGGTTGGCCATAAAGGCCGTAAAACAATAAAGTAACTTCAACTTTATTTGCAAAGGACCGAAACCCATCAATAAATTTACTTTTTCTTTTGGTGCTCAACAAATGGTCATTCAAAATTGA